TCAAGAGGAGTCTGTAGAAAGTGGCTGCCACAGGGGGAGCGATGCTGAGGCCGACCCAAAGCCAGCTAAGCCCCGGCACGCCCAGGGCTTTCCTGGAGCTCAGGCAGAGGCTCGCCAGATGTCCCAGCTCCGAGCTCTGCGCAGCTGGGCGGTCGGTGTCAGGGAGGCCACGGCTCCCTTAGCAGAGGGAGCAGGGGGCCACACAGCAGGGCGGCGGGGGCCAGATCAGAACTCCTCTCGGGCTCAGATGAGCCAAAGGCCTTCTGCTTGAAGAGGATGTGTGGTCCAGGCTGTGGAAACGCAAACAAGTGCTCCACCTCCAAGCAAGCTTAGGCCTGCATCCCCATCAGAAACGGCGAAATTAAGGGATTTAGCATAGAGGGCAAAGGCAGTACCACCACCCAGACCTGGAGCCCTTCATCTTCCTAAGCAGGTCTCTGCGTTCCCCGTGATGGTGGTGGTGATGGTGAGGATGGTGGTGATGGTGGCAGCGATGGTGATGATTCTAATAGCGGGGAAGCCTTTATTGAGAGCTTACTATGTTCTAAGTAGGTATGGTAACTCCCTTTATCCTCACCACAGCCCTGGGAGGTAGATTCAGTTATTATCCCCATTGTATAGAGGAGGAAACCGAGGCTCTGAGGGGTTACTACTTCCCAAGGTCACACTGGTACATAATGTCGGGATGCGAATCTATACTCTTCAAAGCTGGGTTATCCCACCTGGGGAACAACATAATAGGATCATTTTGCTCTGGAGTCAAAAACAGAACCTACCCAGAAGAAAAATCAGTAATTTTTTGGAAAAAATGTTCACCTTTTAACTCTTGGAGCATGAGGGCCTTGCTTCCTTCTTTCAAGTATAGATAGGGGGCTTCCCTGGTGGTGCAGTGGTTAAGAATCCTCCTGCCAAAGCAGGGGACACGGGTTCGGGCCCTGGTCCGGGAAGATCCCACATGCCGCGGAGCAACTAAGCCCGTGCGCCACAACTACCGAGCCTGTGTTCTAGAACCCACGAGACACAACTACCGAAGCCCGTGCGCCTAGAGCCTGTGCTCCGCAAGAGAAGCCACCGCAATGAGAAGCCCGCGCACCGCAACAAAGAGTAGCCCCCGCTCGCCGCAACTAGAGAAAGCCCTTGCGCAGCAACGAAGACCCGGCGCGGCCAAAAATAAATAAATAAAAAATAAATAAATTCCAGGAAAAAAAGTATAGATAGGAAGTTTAGAAATCTAGAGCAAGCAGCCCCTTCCGGCCCTCCTGCGGCCTCTCGGTCCACCCTCTGCTCTGTTTTACACTTTGCACCTGCCATGTCCTCCTGCGTCTCCTCCTCCGTTTGAATGTGACCTCCTCAAGGGCTCGGACTGGGGTCTGGTCACGTCCACCATCGCCCAGCACAGCAGGTACTCAAACATTTGCTGAGGGGGGACTCGGTCTCCCAGCAAAGCCCAAAGCCCCCCGAGGCAGGAATTCCCAACGCTGGCCTGAGCGTCCCCAGAGGTGGCCTGTGGCCAAGCTGCTCTTCGGGGCAACCTGCCACGCCGGCCACAGAGCCACTGACAGCTGTCCTGTCCCGCCTGTCCCTCTTCCAACCACAGTGACTCAGGCCTTCTCCCCTCCCAGGGCCTCTGGATCCACCCCATGGAGCTAAGGCAGGGCTGAGGAGGCAGCCACTTCAAACTGTTATGGGACCAGTGCCCATGAAGTCAGCAGGTTGACACAGACAGAAGGCTGAGGGGCTGCCAGCAGGCACTAGGGAAGCCAAAGGCTTGTGTTTCTTCTAAGTGAGGACCCAGTGGCTCACACCCACCCCCGCATCATCACCTCCCTTCTGTCCTTCTAACAAACATGCCTGTCTGCACCTTAGGACGGTGGCCCTTGCGGTTCCCCGGAGATACTCTCCCCGCACCCCATTTCAGTTCCTTCTAGTCCTTCAAATATCCCCAGCTCAACAGGCCGTCAAGGACCACCAGTCACCTTGTCTGGCCAGTGGGCCTATTTATTTGCTTATTTGCTGACTGCCCGTCTTCACCCCCTGTTATGGATGGAATTGTATCTCCTAAGAAGATGCGCTCAAGTCCTACCACTGGTGTCTCTGAATGTGACCTTATTTGGAATTAGAGTCTTTATGAACATGATCAGTTAAGTAATGAAAAGTCATGCTGGAGCAGGACGGCCCCTAAGCCAAGATGACTGGCCTCCTTATCAGAAGAGGAGAGAGGCACACAGAGAGGATGCCAGAGCCATGTGACGACGGAGGCGGAGATGGGAGCGGCGCCGCCGAGCGCCAGGAACGCCATCGACGGCAGCACCAGAAGCTGGAAGAGGCAGGAAGGATCCTCCCCTGCAAACTTCAGAAGGAGCACAGCCCGCTGACACCCTGATTTCAGACTTCTGGCCCCCAGCACTGTGAGAGAGCACATGTCTATCGTTTCAAGCCACCCAGTGTGTGGTGCTTCGTGAGGGCAGGAAACCGGTACACCCCTCACACAGAGTTGAGACGAGGTCCCTGCCCCCGTGAGCCGGGCTGGTTTATTCCAGCGGTTTAGCAGCAGTGGTTGAATAAGCAAATGGCTGGGCTCCCACGGGTCTCTCCAAATGCAGTGGCCTCTGCGCAGCCCATCCGCCCCGCGAGGGAGGCACGTGCACGCCAGGCCCGTCTCGCCCGTTGCTGGGTCTCCGCTGCTCTTCCCGGCGCGTGGAGTGGAGCGGGCGCACACGGCAGGCGTGGGGCCGAGGGGTGGGGTGCCCCTCGCGTCAAGGGCGGGGCCTGAGGATGCTCCAGACACGAAGAAAGCTCCCACGCACGTGAGGGAGGGGCCCATGCCAGCAGCATCCCAGCTGACCCCAGAGACCGCCGGCCAGGGAGGACGAATGCCTTCCTGCGTGGAGAACTTGGGGGAAGAGCTGCACAGGCGACACCAGCCAACCCTTCCGGTCCCGCTCAGCCAAAGGCCATCGGGGCAGCTACGTTCCTGAGGTTAAACCTCTGGGTGGAGGTTTCTGAGGCAGCTTTGGGGAGCCTGCCAGGAGGCCCTGGGGTGTGAGCAGGGCTTGGCTTTTGCACAAGTGGACCGATCGAGTGCTACTGACAGATAGCCTCTGGGTACCTGCCTCGCCCCAGTTGGTCAGCCTTCAGGAGAAAACAGCCAAACATGTGCTCTCGTTCAAGAGTCCCGGGGGATCCGTCAGAGTACAGAGCAAACATATGTTACCCTGGGGGACTGAACTCAATGCTTCTTATTGAAATTGGGTCTGGGGGCCAGGGTCCAGCCCACCAGGGTGAAGTGGGGCACCTGAGTGCCTTTAGTAAGATTCGGAGGTGACTGCCAAGGCTGTCTGCTGCCCGCACCCCCTTCCGAGCCACACCCACATTCCAGAAAGGTGCCATCCCCTCAGGGAGGGTCTGCCATCCTCTCTAGCAGGGGAGCAGTACAGGGCAGTGCATTCAAGCGGGCGCTCTAAAATGCAAACTTAATCCACACTGAGACGCCACGTGTCACCCATCAGACAGACTAAGATCAAAACAGTGCAATAAGAGCCCATGCTGGGGAGCACATGGGGCCACAGGCCCCCTCCATGTGGCTGGCAGAAGTATATATTGACACAGCCTCCAAAGGGAGCAGTTCAGCAAAATCTATCAGAGTCACCAAGGTATGCGCCCCCGACCCCACAATTCTATTTCTAGAACTATATCCGACTGATAGACAAGCACGTGTGTTATACGCCCCACCCACACCGTCTATAATTCGGAAAAGTTGAGAATCCACCTTGTGCCCGCAGGAAACTGGCTGAATACCTTAGAGCACAACCCACACGACTGGAGACGCGTGGTGATGAAAAGAACGAGGATGCCCCCTGGGAAGGGACGTGGAAGGATGGTCAAGGTTTACTGTCAAGACTGTCAAGGTTTAGTGATAGAAGTAGGTGCAGGAGAGACTCTATGACGAGATATCACTTGTGAAAAGATATAAATGCACACATATCTGCTGATTTGAGACAACGCGAGAAACTGGGCGCAGAGGCAGTTAACGAAGGCGAAACACTGGAAACACTCAAGACAAGCTTGGTTTTCTTAGTATTTAAGATGACCTTCCAAATGACAGTGCCTGCCAAGCCAGGTGCTGAGAGTCGCTATGTCCCCAAACGTGCTACGAGGTCCCCTTTCCTGCTGAAGACGCTAGGACAGCCCAGCAGAAGGGGGCGTCCACACCACCTTTCTTCCGTCATGAGGAGTGGCAGGTGGTGCCGGTGGGAGTAAAAGTCCAAGAGCCCGCGATGTCCAAAAACCCAGCCACCAGGCAGCACCACCTCGGGACTGCAGGAGATATGGGAACATACGTATATGTATAACTGAGTCACTTTGTTATAAAGCAGAAACTAACACACCATCGTAAAGCAATTATACCCCAATAAAGATGTTAAAAAAAAAAAAAAAAGAAGTTCCAGCCCATTCTCTCAGCCTTCTCACCTCTCAGAGGACTTTGAAACGAAACAGAAGGGTCTCAAGAAATGAAAGTCCTTCAACCCAAGCTTTTCGTTCCTGACCTCAAGATTCCTGGAAGGCTCAGAGTTCTCTGACCGTTTATTTTTGATTTGGGGATTTTTATCCCCTAGCATTTTATTACAAATGGCCACTTTCATTGGTGGCCTGACATCACATGGGAGAGAAGCAGACCGTCAAAAACGCTTCTTCCTCTTCCTCGTTCCCCCTAAACACAGGCTGACCCAGACTACCCATAATTCCCCACGGGGGCCACCCAATCCCTGGCTCACCTGGCTGTCCCCTATTCCTAACTCGATCTGCTGACGGTGATAGTTTTAAGAGGTGGAGACATACACCATACACCATCTCTAAAAAAAGATAACTCCATCCAGGGCACGTGGCTGGTGATCCACGGGGGGAGCGGTCATGACCAGTCTGGTCGCATCCTCTGGCCACCAGCTCCTCTGCAGCTGAAGCAGCTCAGGACCTCTCCCAGGCACCAGTACAGCACCCACCTGCCCAAGTGTTCCTGCAGCACCTGGTAAACGCTGATCCGGAACGTCTCGTTACTGAAGTGTTCCCGGATGTGGTCCTTGTAGATCCGGAATTCGGCTGCAGTCACCGCTTCCCCTTCTGGGATCTTGGAAAGATCAAACCGGAACTCCCGGTGGTGGTAGCGTGGGTGGAAGAACTCTTTGTCGTGTTCCACTGCAAAGGGGAGAAAACACACATCGGCACCAAAAGCTCATTAGTGACTGGGTTTCACTCTCCCAGCTCAGAGTCCAAGCATCTTGCCTAAGCTCAATGGAGACTTGCCCAGAGCCGGTGACCCCTGGTGATGACTGCCTGTTCCAGGCTGACCTGCAGCAGACTACAGGTCACAGGCTCAGACCCCGTGGTCACCTTGGACAATAAGAACAATGAACTCTGCACCAACTTGCTGGGGAGAGTGGGGTACTGACCAAGTCATCCCAGAGGCCCTGGACAGGCCTGGGCTCCGGGGACTCAGGCCTGGGCTCAAATCCAGACTCAGCCACTACCAAGCTGGGTGGGCTTGGACAAGTGCCAGGTTAGCTATCCAGACCTCAGTTTCCTCATCTGAAAAATGGGAATAATAATCCCCCTTCATGGGTTGCTGTGAGAGTTAAGTGATCTAATTCATATAAATAGCTTAACCACTGGAAGGGCTGGATAGCTGTGAGCTACAGTGTAAACGTCAACCTTACTATGCCTATCATGGGTTACCTAGGCCAGTGGTGCTCAGCCCTGGCTGCGTGTGACAATCACCATGGGAACTTTGAGAACACATTGATGCCCTAGCCCAGTGGGGGCTGGTAAACGTTTAATAACCGGCTCTCTAGGACCCGATCTGCGGTGTTTGCCAATTTTCATCTTGGAAGATTTCAAGCTACCAAAGTGAAGTCACTGAGAACAGGGGTGGGCAGACTGGCACAAAGTGGGCTCCAGCACCCTGCCCCTCTCGGAACCAAATGAATCACTATCTTTGGGGAAGGGGCCCAGAAACCTGTACTTTTTAAAGCACCCCAGATGTCTCTAACAGCAGCCAGGGTTTACACAGCCTTAGACAAAAAGAAGAAAAAGAGGTGAATGGCAGCATCTTGGCGGGGAGGGTGGGGGGTTTGGAAGAGGACTTCAGGACAAAACAAGGTCAAGGGACCAAGCCCTTCTCCCTTATACTGGCAGTGACACTAGACTAAGCCATTATGTCCACTTCATAGACGGCGAACACCAAGATGGATGTAAGTGCAAGAGCGATGCTTCGGGGAGTGGGCCCCTGGTTCCCAAGGATCGTGCATCCTTTGGACTAACATGGAGCAGCAACGAAGGTGAGCATCGTCGGTGTTGCAAAGATGCAGGATGGCCAAGCCCAGGTGGGCCTGCAGCATCTGCAGGTACCCTTCATCTCCTGGGAGATACAGCCCAATCTCCACTTCCTGCCTCGGGGGTGGGGAACCAGAGAGACAGGGAGGGAGAGTGCAACCAGCTTGGCCAGAAGGGAGGAGAAACATGACCAGCGAGCTTCAGCTTTCTCAGCGTGAAAGCCCTCAGGCTGGGGGGTTAGGGCTGCCACAGGTACAAGCAGGACGAGAACGCGTGAATGCCTTTGAGGAAGGAGGTTCACAGCACTGGCAGCCCAAAGGCCCTTTAAAAACCAAAAATCTGTTTTAAACCTTAATAATATGACTGGCCCAGGGCATTTCCACTTTGATTTATGGAGAAGATGAGGATGCAGGGTCTACTGCGGCAGCCTCTGCAAAGTGCCCCCCACGGGGGATCGAGGGAGCCTCGGGAGGGGACCCCAGGGGAAGGGGGCCTCTGTCACTAGGGAAATGCCCCGGGCCAGTCTTGGTCACCCTTCTAGCTCATTCAGCCCTCACGTCACCCTAGGAGGTGAGCACAATGCCGCGTCGGTAGGGGTAGGGGTGCACCTGAGACCCAAGAGGCGTGGTGTGGCCTCCCAGGGTCGGGGAGCTGAGACTGAAACCGAGGTCCCACCCAACCCGAGGCCTTAACCACACATCTCAGTGGCAGTGCTGACAGCTCAGCAAGGGGAGTTCCTTGGCGTGTCTGTTAGAATGTTTTCACTGCATTACAACATACGTGTTGTACGTGCACAACCATAGGGGTGCAGTTCAGTGAACTGTCACAGTGAACCCACCATGGGACCTTCTCCCAGATCAAGAAACAGAACATTACCAGTGCCCCCTTCCTCTCCCCCCAACTTCTCAAACCAGAGGTTAGTTTTGCTTGTTTCTGAACATTATAAACAGGGAATAATACGGTATCTATTCTTCTGTGCCAGGCTTCTTTCACTCAACAGCGTTTGTGCGATTCATCCACGTTGCTGTGGACGTTCATTCCTCCTCGTTGCTGTATAGTATTCCACAGCTCGATTACAGCCCTGTTCACGGATCCATCCCACAGGACACGGGCGTCTGGGTAGTTTCCAGTTTGGGGCTCTGCGAGCAGCACTGCTGTGCACATCCGGGCACCCGTATTTCCGGGGCGGGGGGGGCAGGCACACCCGGAAGTGGAGCTGTGCGTGTTCGATATCGCGCCCGAGCACTTTTATGTACGGGGGGCGGGGGTGATGGAAGAAGGCAAGTCTGTCCTGCCAAAGACGTGGGCACAGTCTGGGGATGACTCCTGTTCTCCTCAGGTACTTTTCTGCAGGGGACTCTGGGTGGGGGGCTGAGGGGGAGGCGACAACTCCTGGAGAGAATCCCTGCGCCCCAGTGAGCGGCCGGAGGGTGCACCCCTGCCCCCCTGAGCTCCCTCGCAGTGAACTCAGCCGCGTCGGCCCCAGCCCCAGCACCCCACCCAAGCCAAGGTCACCAGAGACCACCCACAACCAAATGGAAAGGACACCCTATGGTCACCATTTTTCTGGACCTCCAGGTAGCAGCGGCCAACATGTGGCTCTTCCAGCCTCGGCAGACCTTGCCCTCCTGCAGTCCCCTTCACTGTGAACACTTGGCTGTCTCCCGCCCACCCCGCCCCATCCTTCTGGCCACTCCTTGAAACATCCCCTTAGATATTTCCATTTACAGGAGTTGACATGCAGCTAAGGAACACCAGGAGTGGCCCCCCATGCTGACAGACTACACAGATACAGTCTCTATTTCCAACCGTCTTCCCTTCCCCCCCAGCGGAGCCAAACCCCCAAAGGCCAGAAAGAACCCCTGAGGTGTGCGATGCTTCAGTATTCAGCGAGCGAGCAAGCCAGCTTCGTGCCGTTGTGCACAGGAGCCTCGGGCACGGTGCCTGGGACTCGGCGAGACCCCGACAGACCCCGGTGCCCCTGCTCCCAGCGCGGGGACAGACCATGCCTCACCACAGCTCCTACTGGCAAACACAGCCATCAACCCGAGCAGAGAATGGGACAGTGGACCCACAATTTACAAATGAAGATGGCTGAAGAACCCAGAAGTGCAAAAAGGCACGTGCTCCGTGACGGTTCTCACGTTGAGCACTCTTGGCCATCACGTGGTGGATCCAGGCGAGGCAGGATTGAGCCCCATTTGACAGATGAGGAAACTGAAGCTCAGGGAGGAAAGGTAACTTGCCCGAGGCCACACGTTAGGTGAGTGCCTGAGCGCCGAAACCCCACTCTTGACCTTTACACTCCCTGGAGCCGGGTGGCCTGAGTTCAGATCTCAGCTGTGCACTGCCTGTGGTCTTGGCCCAGTTACTTAACCTCTGTGCGTATCCCCTTCCTCCAGGGATATTACACTGGTCCTTTCTCATAGGGAAGCTCACAGGAGGCGGCACTTACAACAGTGCCTGGCGAACGGGGAGTAATTTGTATGGGTCATTTTTACAGGGCCTCTCAAACAATGAGCTGTAAGAGTGACAATCAGTACAGAAAAAATAATATGTGCGTGTGGGTATTTACATAGTTCAGCTATGATAACTTTATTTGAAAAAAATTACAATAGATCAAACAGAAAAGAAATGTTTGGATAAGCATGACATTAACACAGGTACAGTCACTAATGTCACAGGCAATGAAGAAAGAAAACACTGATATATAATCACAAATATAGTTTGTTGCAGCAGGTGTATATGTAACTTTTTTTAACGTGTAAGATAAAACGTATCTTAACTGCTAAGACAATTAAGATATCAGGGTTATAAGGTTTCTTTTTTAAAAAAAGATAAATGGATAAAGTGTCCAACTAAATTTCTTGCAAACATTTACAGGCTCTTTGGCATGGCTTCCTAAGTGAAATTTTTTCATTAATCATTTTAAGACAATGAGAGGGATGAACCATGTCATTATTCTGTTCTTCCTGAAACCTACATAATCTTGTGATTTATCAAAGAAAAAACAGTCATTTTTTAAAAGAAGAGCAGCGACTAATTCAAAGTTCAAAGCAAATCCCAAATCTCCTCTTCCCAAGGTTTCCATTTAATATGGAAACCGCTCCACCGTGTGGAGTCTACACCATTTCAGTCTCAGGGATCAAGATGGCTTAACAGGGCTTCCCTGGTGGCTCAGTGGTTGAGAATCCGCCTGCCAATGCAGGGGACACGGGTTCAATCCCTGGTCCGGGAAGATCCCACATGCCATGGAGCAACTAAGCCCGTGTGCCACAACTACTGAGCTTGTGCTCTAGAGCCCGTGAGCCACAACTACTGAGCCTGTGTGCCACAACTACTGAAGCCCGTGTGCCTAGAGCCTGTGCTCTGCAACAAGAGAAGCCTCTGCAATGAGAAGCCCGCGCACCGCAACGAAGAGTAGCCCCCTCTCGCCACAACTAGAGAAAGCCCGTGCGCAGCAACGAAGACCCAATGCAGCCAAAAATAAACAAATAAATACATTAATTAAAAAAAAAAAAGATGGCTTAACAGTCACCACTAAAGCAGATGGAAACATGCATGCATTTTAGGGAGAAAACTGTCTTCACACTTTGTTGTTAAATTACTGTAGTTGATTACCCAAGACTCGAGTTTTAAAATAAATGTCTAGAGTTGATATCTCCCTGAGCCCATTAAGAAAAGCAACCCAAGGAAACCCAGAACCTAGGAAACCGGCTTTTTCTCCCACTGCCCTTTATAGTCTAGAACACCACTGACTGAGTGAACTCACAGGAATGAACAAAGGACTTTCATCTTCAAAAGATTAAAAAAGTCCAAACCCCTGAGAACCAAAAGCTAAGTCCAAAGAAAACAGATTCCAGAAA